GCTGTCCCGCTGCGGGCGTGCTCCAAGGCTTTGCTCCCCGTCTCCCTGGCCTGCAGGGAGACGGGGAGCAGCTTTTCTCACCCCGGAGGAGGGGGGCGGTGGACCGCGGCGCATCTGGGCGTCCCGCCACTCCTGTCCTCCGGGGAGAGAAAAGCCCCGTTCGTAACTGCGGATCCGACATAAGTCGGATCCGCGTAACTCGGGGACTGCCTGTATGTGAATTGCCAGGGCACAGTTTACACTTCATTACTCTCTTATTTGTCATAGGTCTCTTAACCTTTCCCCTTATGTCCGTTCTCTTTATCACATTTGATTTTACTCAACTCTTTGTCTCAGACTTTGCTTTGCCAGTGTCTGATGAATTTATTTTCTCTACTGTTTTGGTGGCTAACTTAATTACAGAGTAGTCCTGTGGCACCTTAGAGACTAACAAAAATATATGTATAGTATCATGAGCTTTTGTGGGCAAAACCCATTTCATCAATTGAGCTGGAGTTGAAATTTGGCCGTGTGTGTGTGGAGAGAGAGAGAGAGAAATACATATTTTTTTCTCTATAGTTCCAAATTGTATCTTCTTCGTTTTCAAACAAAGTGAGGGACCAGAATTTTTCAAACTCGGAAGCCTTAAGCTAGACACCTATATCCACATTTCAGGCATCCAGATAAGCATATTGATTTCCAGTGGTGCTGAGCACTTGCATTACTTAATCAGGAGAGTGAAGAAACTAGTATTGCACTTGTTACTGACCTTTTTTTTTTAGCATCCAGTCTATATTAATTTTATTTGGTGATGAAAATTTCAGAAAACATGGAAGCTCTGCCCACATCCTGAAATAGGAGTAGAAAGCCCAAGCAGGAGAAGTTTCTGAAATGAGAACGTCTCCCTATTGCTGACTCCAGTAGCTGTGAGTGTACATACCAAAAATGACAGCTTGGCTGGATGTGTTGTCAGGCTGTTTACACTTCCTGTAACATACAGTGTGGACAGTTACGTTTTTCAACATCGCACCACAAACAAGGCACTAAAGCAATCCAACTTCAGGATGACATTGGGATGCCTGGGGTACAGTAGCTTCAACTCAGGAGTCCCAGGTTTGTGCGTGAATTAAAAATTTCTTAATCTGTCCTTGACAATCAGTATAGATGCTCACGTGGTAGGTTCTCCATCCCAGAGTTCTCTGATTAAAGTCCCACTAGCCCTGAGTTTACATTGCACTGTAGACATACCACAGAGTATGTCTATACTGTGGTAAAATCCCCACAGCCCTGAGCACATCCCTAACTCTCAAAGCCCAAAGGGCTTGCAGGCCTCAGGCTACATGGCTATAAAATTGCAATGTAGATGTTTGGGTTGGAGCTGAATCTGAGGCTGTAAGACCCTATGAGGAGGAAGATTTCTGAGCCCAGGCTCCAGCCTGAAATATTTACACTGTAGTTTTATAGCCCACAGCATGAGTCCTGCAAACCCAAGTCAGTTGAACTGGGCCAGCAATGTTCATGCCACAGGTCTTTTACTGCTGTTTCGATGTACCCACAGAGGTAATTCAAACAGCAAAAAAACACTCAGGCTGCAGAGAGTGATAGTTATCAGCTGGGGAATTGTACTAACCTGAACTGTAGTTGATATTTTTTGATGAGTTAAAAGCTCACTCAGACTGCTTTTGTGTTTGGAATGGATGTGAGTTGGAGCAATATTCAAATTATAAAGAAAATGCTAATAGTCATGTAGTGGCTTTTGAAGAGACCAGTATCTGTCTAGCCAGTTCTGTGTTGTCTGTTGACTTACTTGCATATTGTTAAAATGTATTTATATAAAATATATATATTTTTTAAATTATCCACTCATTGTTCGCTGGATTCTGTAGATTGGGTTATTATATGTAAGCACTCAATATTCACTGTAGATACAGCCCAGTACTCTTTGAAACAGGATACTAAGTAAGATAAATAGCCTTCATGTGTAATATAATAGTACATGGAAAAGTAAAGAGAATTGTTGGTTTATATTCCACTAAAGTCATTACATTATTTTTGTTTTAAAGTAGCAGTAGCAGCTAGGCATTCTTATATCTATAAATCAGCTGAAAAGGAAGTAGTTATTTGAGGATGTAAGAGAAGATTAATATAATAAGGAATAATAATCCAAAACAGTATTAAATTATGGGGTCTGGATGACAAAATGTACTATACAGTACTGTGAATTATAGAGGCACTGTAGTAAAAACACGAGTAGCCAGCAACTAGCATTTGTACTAAGTTTTTAAGAATATAATTTTGGGCATTTCTGAGTATAATTAAAATATAATAATTGAAAAAAGCACATTATGTGTTCAGTAATTATATTCTATGAAGTGGAGCATATTAGTGCTATACAGTATGAATGATCCATGCTGCCTGATAATTCTAAATTAACAAAATAATAAAAGGCTTTCACATTTCCTGTGCAACTTGAAGACAAGTAATACTGCATATTGATTTCCTCCACTTAAAAATTAACTACTGAACATTGTTATCAACTATCTGTCTGACTCATGCCTCCAGTTGTATTTCTTCCAAGGTAAAAGTTTTCAACAATGCTGGAATACTCGTAGCAAAAAATGGCAAATGTTATGTAGTATAGATTGAGATGGGGTTTCTATTATACCTCCCTCTTTTAAATTCTTTGTTTAAATTCCTTGTGTTTCTTTAATTTAAAAAAAAAGTTTCAAATTATGCGAACCATAACTGTGAATGTCTTTATTGTGTGGCTATAATTATATCTGTAATTAGGATTGCCAGGTGTCCCCAGTTTTGAACTGGACAGTCCAGTATTTGAGCTTTCTGTTCAGGAAACAAATTGAGAAAATATAAATGAGAAAATATACATGTCTGGTATATTCTAAATAAGATGTAATGTAATGTCAAGTGTGTCTGGTATTTTTGTTGAAATCATCTGGCAACCCTATCTGTAATACTGTATTAACATAATAACATTTTATATTTAATTTACCCCAGTGTTCTCAATTTATATGATTTGTTTTGCAGAGCAATCAGAGGTCCCATTTAGAATTGGGCCTTCTGATCTAGGTAAAATACAAATAATATTACAAAAATTGCATAAGGTATGTAAAACCAGTGGATAGCATCTACCTCGTTGTTATGGTGTAACTGTTAGTTGAGTTTGAAAAACTTAAGCTAAATGTGACCTCTCTGTATTCAAATCTAGGCTTTTGGCCAGAGAACTAATTCAAATATAGAATTTTGTCCTCAAAACACATATGCATATAAACATGCATATTTTCAGGATGAGAATTACAATTGACAGAGGTTTAAAATGGTATCTTTCTTTGTTTATTTTTTCATCCTAGATTTTCTGTGTTCGCTATGACTGCACCCAAAAGGAAACTGTCTCAAACAATTGAATGAACCATATTTCTGGCCTATGCTGGGTTCCCCTAGTTCTTGAAAGATATGAAATTGGGAGAAGCTGTAGTACAAAAAGACCCTGTTTCTGTTTTCTCTCCTGCAGCCCAATTGCTGTGCCCCTTTTTATAATTAAATTCTAAAGTGTTAATATATGTGTATTAATGCACATTAGACTTCCTAACACCTCCTTTGTATTGTCAGGCCATGCTTGATTCTTTATCTCATCTCCCTGAGTGGTATGGTATAAAGGAAATGCAAGCAAACTGGATAGGTGATTGTGTCGGATGCTACCTTGACTTCATGTTAAAGGTAAGTTTAAAAAGTTTACCATCCCTTTCTTTGTGTGAAATATGCAAAATCACTGAAATGAAGAATGGGATTTCTTTTTCTCTCTAGAAGACTTGAAAGTTAAAGATATTATTACAGGTTGAACTTCTCTAGGCAAGAACTCTCTGGTCTGAAAACATCCATGGTCCGGAATGATTTTGGTTAGCCAGATGTCCACTTTTCATGGGTGTGGCCAAGTTTCCTGTGGTTCCATAAAGTTTGTTTACAGCCATCAGTCCTTACTCTGTGTTCTGTGCTGTTATTTAGCTCTAATTTACCCCTTAGTGCCCTCTTACAGCCCAGTAAGCAGTGGAAGTGTCAGTAATGCTGCTAGACAATATTGATCTCCCTTGGTTCGGCAAATTCTCTGATTCGGAACCGGTCAGGTCCGGAGGGTGCCAGACTAGAGAGGTTCAACCTGTATAAATATATATGTTTATTAAATGTATCATTTTGTATCATTTTTCTTCTTGCTGCACTATAACATTCATAGCTCATTGAAGATTTCCTGCAGAAAGGTTATGGCAGACTTTGGTGTTTTTGTAAGTGAACTTTAGTTAATAACCCAAATCTATGGCTGTTCAGAGTTCACATTGTAACCCAATGCAAATCAAGATGTGAGGTTACTTATATATCAGATTTAATGAGAAGCTACTGTCATGAGATTATATTTAGTCACTGGAAGGAGTACAAAAATAAATATGTAGGATTAAGATAAAACAAAGAGGACAAGTATATTGAATTGTTTCTGAGTGTTCTCATAATGATCATTTCAACTTCTTTGATCATATTTAAAAGGTCTAATGCTTCATTATAATGGAATTTATTCGTGGGAGAAACATAGTAACATTTTAGTAACTTCTCAATATAGAAAGTAAGAAACTGAAATCCTCCACCAAAATGTGGTGTGTGATTTGAGCAGTTTGGAACTTGCACCTGTTCATTTTTGTCTGTCCCCCCTACAGTCCACAAAGTCCACTGAAGAGTGCCAAGAAGCTATGCAGATCTAACTTAGTAGTTGTTCAGTCTCTGACGATTCCCAAGAAAAGCCAGTGTCAAGTATAAGTTTGTTTTTGCTAGTGTGGTTATTGGCTTGTAGGACAAAAGTCATATGAAATTATTATTAGTTCTTATTGGGACTCAAACTCCAGTAGTATTTTGCAACTGAGTCTTTAAAACTATTTTTGGTTAAATGCTTTGGATACAGAAGCTTTCTTTCCTATATATTTGTTTTCTTCCTAACATTGAGATCACAGAGCCTGTCCTGCCAACCCACATGACCGTAAAAACTTTTTAGAGCAATTGGTTGTTGAGGGTGCACACATAACCCTGAAGTCCTTAGATATGAGTGTAGACCAATAGAGTACGGTTTTTTTCCTTTTCTTCCACTGTTGGGAAATCTATGCTAAAGTGAGTTTCTTTACGTTGATAGTGCTATTGTAAGTACTATGTTCAATGCAGACTAGAAAATAACATACTGAAAGCGATGGGGGAAAAAAGAAAGCTAAAGAAAAGTGCCAGTAAAAAAAGAGGAAAGAAGCTACAGAGAACTTAAGAAAAATACAGGTGCACTTGCTCTGTGCTCCGTCCACAGAAAAAAATAGAGAATATTTGACATGCTTTTGCAAAGATGCAAAAATGAAAGACACTTGATGCTCTAGGGAGAGATTTTCAAAGGTACAAATGGTGTTAGGCACATAGCACCCTATCACTTCAGTGAGAGCTAGGTGCTTATTTGCTATGGCCTAACATTTCATAAATGTTTTAATTTCTAGGAGCCCAAAATGAAATATCTTAAAGAAGCTCAGTACATTTGAAAAACAGGCCATTTTAGTTCGAGGCTTCTGCAAATGTATGCCTCTATGTGCACTTGAAAATCACTCTGAGGGCTCCATGTGCTAGAGCATGTAACTGGACCAAAATTCTGCAGCACTCTGGTGTGGCAAACTTGGAATTCTACGGTAGTCTCCTTTTAAATTTTAAAAATATTTTAAATTAATAACATATGATAATAAATACCATCTGTACAGTTTCCCCAGTGTTCATTATATATTACAATTAATTTATTTCATCGTGCCATCTTTTCCAGTTTGTATTGTGTTGTCAGTACAGAAATCTGTAGCATTAAACTTCATTCTAGAAATGTCAGTGTGGAGTCTGGAGATGGAAACAATGAAGGGTGATGCTTCCCCGTTACTTGGTTACCTGGTTGTTATCCGTTAACATCCCTAATAATAACTATCTTTTTGGACAAAAGAGAAGTTAGTTTTGATGGGCTGGAGTTGTTGGTTCAGTAAATCCCATTTCATCCCAGATGGCATTTGGGATTCAGCTGGAGCTGAGAGGTGGCAATGTTATCTGGGCCCCTCTCCCTAGCCCAGTCTGGTTAGGACATCTCAAGATTAGGATAATGAAGACCTGGGGTTCCAGGAGATGAAGGGGATGGAAGCCATGAAGGTGAAGCTTGCTTCAGTAGCCACCATTTCTGTTATTTCACTTTATCAGTTCTTTCTGTATTTTCTTTCCCCCAAAAGTTTGTTACTTTTAGCAAGAAGTGATGGATGGAATAACCCATCTCCACATTAATTTTCACACCATTAGGCCTAATATCTGATACATTTGTTTTAACAAACACAATTTGAACAGTCCTTGGATTATATCAATATATGCATGGCCTTCTCTTTGAACTAATTTAGTCTGTTTCTCTTGCACTTGTTTATAATATTCTTTATTAAAAATAATTTGACCTGCTTTCCACGGTATATCCCTATGCAGGCAAAAGCAATAGAGCAATTGCCACAAAAGGAGGAAATATAAAAAATGCATTTTAATGGAGAAAATTAGCAATAAAACTACTCTGAAATACTTTCTGTCCTTTATCAGGTTAATGGCAAAGAAACAGGAGAGAAATTGGTTGCCTATACATATACACCTGAAGCCATTTATGGTGCTTCCCACTTACATATTTTACCTGATCATAGACTCCTGCATGGGAATAGTAGTGTGAAGGAAGTGTTGCAGAGAGAGTTTGTTCCAGGCAAAGGTGAGTTTTTGCTCAAATTTTTTTTTCTGGAAGTAAGACAGTTTCAGAGCATAATCTTAAAAAAAGTAAGCCTGAGCGTGACAATTCCTGTGGAGGAGAAACAATTCCCTTTGATTCTTTGTACATAGCAAGTAGTATTACTTTTCCTCTCCCTAACTTCAAGTACGGTGGGGTGACAGTAACTGGAATATCAATCTTAGTGTTATAATGGTTGTAAAATCTTTAAAGAAGTCAATTGATTGCATGAAAATAGGGAACTGAATTCCTGTTTCTATTCTGGGACCTTTCTACCATGAATAGTAGAAAGAGTCCACATTCTGGCTGTAGTTGCCCAGTGGAAAATTCTCCTGGTGGAGGGTTGCCTCCACATTGGCATAAAGCTGGCAGGCCTAACCACAAGTGCCTCCTTATTCTGCCCTCCATCCCTGGGGTGTAGAAGACATGTGGGAAAGGATCAGAGTGTGGAGGGCACATGACTAAGGTATGCTTTGTCACACTGATCCTCAGCTGGCATAGGGTCTCAATGGAGTAAATCAGAGTTGGCATTGACTTATTCTGAAGCTGGTACAGACTGTGTTCCAGTGTAAGAGAGTTGTAATTGACTTCTTAGGACACCCTACTCACGAGGGCTAAGTAGAGCTATGGCCCATTGTTTTGTTACATTTGGAAACCCACAATAATAAGAGTAACAAGATGCCTTAAAGCAGATTAAGTACAAAATATATATGATTTATTTCCACTCCATCCTGCTAATACTTGCATTTTTATTAAGTTGAAAAAAATATTACCTACCTTGTGCACACATGTTATAAAATCAACTCCTCTTACATTCAGGGGAACAGATAACCAGTTGTATATAGGGTTACCATCAATATTTTTTGTTAGTCTCTAAGGTGCTGCAGGACTATTTGTTGTTTAAGTTCTGTATTGCTTACTTTTTTCCTGATGTCTCGCTGGGCATAAAATTAAGGCTACTCTAAATTGCAACAGCTCACAATAGTTCATAAAGGGCCATCTGCTTGCTGTGGGTAGTTGGAGCACAGCGCATTTCAGCCACTCGTCCCCACTGTGACATGCTCACTGAACAGAGTGCTGAAGGTGGTATAGGAACTGGCTATGCCAGGTTTACAGCTGTTGGGGATTTGCCCACAAGGGGGAAATCCCCAACAGGAAAGAGATGCCTGATTTCATCACCTTTGCACCACTGGGCACATGGACAAAGCCAACTAGAGAATCTTGAATACTAATTTTTCCACCTCATTCAATGACCGAATACTTGGCTCAGAGCTTGAGGCAGCTGTTTAAGAATTATTTTTATCTTTGCTGCTCAATGTGTGGCTCATTGCCTCATTAGCTTTATATCCTCCAACTTCTGCAGGGAATGAGGAAGGAATCATGCAGGGAAAAAAATGAACATGTAATTAAAGATAGTGTCATAATGCCCATGCACTGGGAGCAGAATTATGACACTTCCTGACTTGAAAGGTTCATTTTTGCAACTTGGATATTTTTTCATATAGAATCAGAAGAAACAGGAATCGGAAGGTATTGGTTATCTCCAGCTTCTTCCATGGAAACCAGGAGAAACAGGTGTTGTGATATCAGAGGGATTCTGCTGTATGATTAAACATCATACTGCCCCTGAAAAATGCACGTTAAGCTCTTAGAATTCACCTAAATCAGAACAGATTTTCATTGGCCCAGAGAAGGGCACAGATGCATCCTAGGGATTACCTCCTTGCCACATTTTATATTCCTGTGCCAGACAACCAGAGTGCAAAAGCTGTGCAATAATGATCATGTGGTTTTTTTATATCTGCAAAATTGTATTTTTACACATTTCCTACACAAAAGTAGTTGAACCATTGTTGCTTCAAGTTGCCCAAAAGAAGTCACCCTCCTGTGAGACCAGATCAATAAAATTTCAGAAATAATGAATGAAAGTTTGAGACAGTTATAAGCAATTGTGAAAAGAACCTATAAAATGGAAACAGTTACACACCTTGTGATGTGCCCCAGTGTATAATCTGGAACTATGGGACTACTGTGCTCCATCAGTTCTCCTCTCTGGGCTGTCTCATACAATACAGTGGTAGCAACAATCAGCGGAATCCCTCCAGGTGCTGTGATTACTCAGTTAACTGTAGAGACACTTTCAGCTAAGTTGCATGAATGCTCTGTAAGACACTCATGAGTTACACAGAGACCCCACTCAATTTTCCAAGCCTTGCACCCCAGAAATGCACCATTTTGCACAGCTCTCAGTGCAAGCTCACCAGTTAGTTCACTACTTCATTAAAGAAAAGTGGACACTTAACAGCCTTTGAGACATGGGAGTTAGGTAATTACCCTGGGTATGTGCCCTTTCTGAAGAGTCTCTAGAAGAGTGGATTTTTATTGTTGGGCCATCAATACATATCTAACTGGTCCTGATGTACTGTATATCTGTCTTGTCAGTTGCTCCTTTGTTACTACTGAAAGGCAAGCTGTGAGCATTTCCCACTTATCCCATGTTTCAGTAACAAACACAGCAATATTTCATAACTCCACATAAAATGATAGTATGTATAATCCAACATGATAGTAATATTCAACAGATACCTCATTTTAAATGATACCTTACAAGCCATACTGTGTATAAAACATATAATCATATAACTGCAGTGTGCTATTTTGAGGTACAATGTGTCACACATCTACTATAGTACTGCTATGCACTTGTGCTATTATATATGTGTTCATCTGTACATGGACATACTGGCCCCCTTGAAGTCACTTTTGCCATTACCTTGAGTGATGACAGACTTTTACCCCAGATATTCAGATAGAAGTTTTGTATAAAAGCTCTAAAAAAGTGTATCAAATTAGACCTTACCAATGCTTTTAATTGCAGAATAATACATCCCTTTGCTATTAAAAAGGAAGACTTTTAATTTTTGTTTTGGCAAGAAGTGATTTCCTGACACTGCTTTGCATCATTGTGAGTTCTCAATTGCACAGCTGGAAAGATGTGGTTGCCAGGAGAAAAAAGATGTGGTATGGCAAAGTAGCTTAATGTTCTTGTAGTGTTAGCTGGAATGTTCCATTACTTAATATTTTATGTAATTATTGTTTCAAGAGAAGTTAGCAATTAACTTTACAGTGTTTAAGCTTTGGCTCTAGCACAGTATAGTTAGGAAACGAACCTCCATTCAGTATGTATTAATGTGGAGTGTCTTGATGCAAGGATCTGCCCCCTAGATTGTTCATCAGTCAATTTGAGTATATTAATAGATTTGTATAGGTTTATAATTAAAATGTCATCCCTTTGCCATGATTATAATTACGACATGAAGAGACCAAACAAAAAACTGAGATATTAGACTTGAAAATTGTTTCCCAGGCCATTCCAGGCTTCGCCATAAAACTGATTTTTTTTGCTGAGGGACGAGAGAGAGATTTAAAAAGTTGAATCTCCTATACATGAATTTTCTCTTTTTACTTGCTTTCCAAGAATGAAAATGACTCCCCGTTTCCTTTTTTTAATAGAAGAGGAAGACTTTGGGTTATGTTTAGCAGAGGAAATTTTCTGTGAATGCTGATAGTTCAGCATTAAGCTGAATATCCAACAAAGATGAAATCTAGAAAAGTAGTAATCAAGAAAGGGAAAAAAAAGAGTAGTAGCTTGCAAACTGCCAAGAATAGTAACCGTACCCTTTCAGAGCTATTTATTTTACTTCAAGAAAATGTATTGTTTATGTTTTTCTAACAAGACTGAGTTTTCTGCTAAGCTGAATAGAGCTGGTATAACTAAGGGGAAAATATGAGTGGTCTAAGTTTCAGGTTTGCGGTACCATCCTAGACAGATTCAATTCCCAGAAGGATCAACTCAAGTCCCTCTTCCATCCAAGACCGGTGAAATACATGCTAGGCAATTTGCCATGTGAGTGTTTTTCAAACTAGACCTTAAACATTTAGGTCCTTTACATTTTGAATAGACTTTAAAGATCCCACAGCATTTTTAATAAGAGTAGGCATTTGCTTTAGTATCCTTGACTAAAAATTCTCTTCCACTCACAGTTGTATAGTATGCTGAGCAGTGTTCATCTACATCAATGTTTCTCAACCAGTGATACAAGTACCCTTAGGGGTACTCGAGAGAATTCTGGGGGGAGGGGGGTACGTCAACACAACTGAAATTTGGAGAAAACTGAATTTTTGTTCTAAGTTTTACAGCGCTTTATTATTTTTGTACTTTTTTCACCGAAAAATTTCATCACTCATCTGGCTACGATTAAGTTGTTTAAGCAAATGTGTTGCAATGGTAGAAAAACGTTGTGTCTGAAAACTGTAGGTACTGGGGTTACTTATAATTTTTTTTTCAAAGGGGTACTTTATAAAAAAAAAAAGGTTGAGAAACACTGATCTACATGACTGTAGAACTCTGCCATGGTGAAAGTAATTTTTAAATGACTTTGATCTGAAGGGCACTGAAAAATTTAGAGATGGGCCTAATTTTCCAAATTCAGATCTGGATTGTGAGCCTTCAGTATTCAACATTTTGTATCGCAGGTTTTAATTTGTCCCACTTACCCTAAATACTGGGAACTTCTGCAAAATGCAGATGTGACTTCAGATTCTGAATTTAATGTCATGTACTTTTCTTTAGTCGGATCTGAAGCAGTATTTTTTCTTAGTTTTGTGGTAATATCCTCTAGCATCCAAGTTAGGTGTTTCTTTTGCTTCTGGCCCCAACCTAAGGCTAGCTCATATGAGTTAATGGTAATCCCTTATTCTGGTTGAGAACTATTTTTCTTTCTTAAATACTAAATTTCTGCTTTCTGTGAAACCTTTTGTGTTTTATTGATTCTTTTGCCTGGAAAGGAAAGTGAGCAACTTCTGTGAGCAACATCTGGGATTGTGAGGGAAGACAGGTAGGAGGTACTGTTATACCCTTCACCTTTGAAGGATAATTTTGTTCAACTATCTCAGCAAAAAGATATGAGAGAGCTTCCAAATCTATTTATGTCAAACTCCTCCGTTCTGCTATACCTACTACTTTTGGCAGGTATCAGGTTGACTAGAATTTATTATTTTAAAGGAACACTTGCTATATATATGTCAGAGGAGTAGTCATGTTAGTCTGTAAGGGTATGTCTACACTACCACCCTAGTTCGAACTAGGGTGGTTAATGTAGGCAACTGGAGTTGCAAATGAAGCCTGGAAAATTCAAATCCCGGGCTTCATTTGCAACTCCGGTTGCCTACATTAACCACCCTAGTTCGAACTAGGGTGGTTAATGTAGGCAACTGGAGTTGCAAATGAAGCCTGGAAAATTCAAATCCCGGGCTTCATTTGCAACTCCGGTTGCCTACATTAACCACCCTAGTTCGAACTAGGGTGGTTAATGTAGGCAACTGGAGTTGCAAATGAAGCCTGGAAAATTCAAATCCCGGGCTTCATTTGCAACTCCGGTTGCCTACATTAACCACCCTAGTTCGAACTAGGGTGGTAGTGTAGACATACCCTAACTTAAAAAAAAAATACCTTAAAAACAGTGAGTGGTCCTGTAGCACCTTAGAGACTAACAAAAATATATATGGTATCATTAGCTTTTCATGGGCACAACCCATGATAGCTCATGATACCATATTTATTTTACCGTCAATAGTAATGCATTGCTCTGAAATTGTTGTATCTACTGTTGTTTCAAGTAATTTCTAACATGAGTAACCCTGAAAGAGATTGGAGAAAAATAATGTGTTTTACTTGGTTTACTTTGTACAATTGTCTTTGCACATCTGTTCCTTTATTTCTTCTGTATAGTCACTTAGCTTCTTTTATTTGTGGGGATCTTTCAGATGCCATCAGGAAACAGAAAAAGGTTTTAAATCACAAAATTTGGCAATGGAACTTACAGAAGCTTTTAACAGGTTTAAATTCATATTTTGAAGTTGACTAAATTGAGCCTCTCCCTTTAAAAAAAGAAAGTACTTTTTAATTCAATGGATTACTTCATAAGAGATTAGGATGCAAAGCACAGAGATTTTCCTATTAATTAGTGAGATTCTTAGTACTGTTGGTATCATATTTTAATTTTTGTCATGTCTTTTCAGACTGTCTTACTTCAGTGACAGCAGTGAACTTACTTACCAAACAGGAGCTTCCTATAGTCATTTCTGCAAAATCAGATTTTGAGAATTATATTGATACTAAAATAGGTAAGTGACAGTTAAAATATAAGCGCAACAGTGAGTTTTTCAGTAACTATGTTGGAGCACCAGAACTGCTGCTGCAAATGTTTTAAGGTAATGACTGCATTAAGATCTGTAGAGGCCATATTCTTCTTAATTAAGGGAAAGGGAATGAAACTGTAGCTATGTAGGATTTTTTTATTGATCTGAATATGAAGAGGCAGGGTAATATATTATAACAAAAGCGAAAAATATTATAAAAATAAATAAAATTAAAAGCTGTCTTAAGTGAGAAGACCTTCACATTTTCTCTTAAGAATTATAGTGTAAGACATGTCAATATGAGTGCTCTCTTTCTCTCTCTAGCATATTATCATGATCCAAAACAGAACCTCATCAGTGTTTGACGCAAAATATAATCGCAAAAGACCAAAACTTGTAGCAGTATTTTTTTTGCTTTGCCTAAGAACCCCACAAGATAACTGTTAAAAATTTCCTGATATTAATAAATATATCAAACTATCAATCCAATGTGGCTTTATCTAATTATATTTGTTTTTATATCAATGAAATGAATGTAAAGTTATTGTGTTTGATCTTGGTCAGTAATCTCAGAACTGAAAACCTGAATGTAACATTCCCCAGGGCTCTCTGGTCTGTCTTTCCTTGCTGCTTCTAGTCTCTCTTCTGCTTCTTTCTTTGCACCTTATTACTTTTACATCCTGGGGAGTATTAGGCTATGTATGCTACCCCACTGGGCATGACCAGGTGAAATGTGGAATATTAGCGTGGGAGGTGCGGTGTAACATTTTCCTGCCCAAATTTGAAGCTTTCTAAAATACAAGGGCCACTTCTATAATAAAATACAGAATTATAGAGGTTCCTCTTGGTGAGCTCTTTTAAAATCAGTTCTGAAGTTCATTGTATTCTCATAAGCTGCTGATTTTTCTTAGAAATTCTTTGTTAAAAGTTATTAGAAAAATGGATTGACTAAATCAAGAGATGTGACTAGCCTACTAGCTGTGATATTATTAATTTCACAGCGTGGGTTAGAACTTGTTAGCCCAATCATATAATAGGCTGTATTATTATGCCCAGTTTTGAATCAGTAAAATGTAGGTGAGTAATGTGAACTGTTAAAGTGAGAATTTTTTAGGTTGTTTTATCATTTTATTCATCGTATTTTACTTCACAAAATTTTTAGATAGTCTTACAAAGCTGTAAAAGCTTAATACATATTTGGAAGATGTATATGAACAAGTGTGGGGGAGAGCATTGAGAAGGGAAAACAGAAGGGAACAATACATAGCATACATTAAAACTTTTCATTTTATGTGAGAGTTGAAAAATAAACTAGCTCACTCTTCTTAGTCCAAAAAGTGGGGCTTTTTAAATCTTAAAGATTGCATGTATTGTCTTTCCCCTGTGTTTTGCCTGTCTTTCTCATTCACAGTCATTGCCTTCCTTTTCAATATCTCCTTTCCAACCTTTGGAAAGCCAAGCATGGTTGCAAAGTCTGGTAACTTTTTCAAACTATTCATCCTCTTCAAGCTGTTTAAACTAACTTGGCTGTTTTATTAGGAAGAGGCCAGATTTTCAAGAGTCTCCAGATTGGCACATTCAAAAGTTTAGCTGGATGCCAACTGTTGATTTTTGACACAGAATTTTTGACGTCGTCTTCTTGGGGGAAAAAAATAGACTAAAATGTGGGTGCTGCTTTCCTCTGTACAACGTATGGTAAAATCACCTGTGGTAGATTATATGGGGTTCTTTAATTTATTAAGATACTGATATATGGTGCCTTGATATGGATTTAAGAATGGTAATATGATTCTTCTGCTCTGGAGATTACATAGTGATTCCCCATTTTTGGTTTCTTTCTGTTCATTCTTTTGTGTTATATGCTTCTGTATTTCCATATATTGATACAGTTGAAATATTTAACTTAATGGGCAGCTCCATGGATGAATAAGGGTGCTATACTATCCTTTGAACTCAAGTTTGTATTATGATAATTCTAAGGCAGTCAGTGATAATGTTTGAGAGCTCCTAGAACTGCAGTATTTCTAGAAATAGGAAGGAAAAGAGCTAACCTGACATTTAGTTTGGTCAGTAATCTGCTGTTCTGTTAGGGTATGTCCATATGGCAGTTATTCCGAAATAACATAGTCAATGTCTACATTACAAGCAGTTATTTTGACATAAGGTCAAAATAATGTCGAGCTGGAGGACTTCTTACTGTGACTCCTGCAACCCTCATCTTACGAGGAGTAAGGGAAGCCAAAGGAAGAGTGCTCTTTCTCAGACTTCCTGCTATGTAGACAGCGCCAAAAGCCGAAATAAGCTATTTTGACTTAAGTTACGCAATTGACGTCACTCCAGTTGCATAGCCTAGTTTGGCTTTAGCCCTGCTGTATAGACGTCCCCTCAGAGGCCAAGTAAGTAATGCAGGCTTATTTAAACAAATGATCCCCAAAATGAAAAGCAAACTAATGTGGAAAGATATACCTCATTTTGTTATATAATATACCACACAATCTATAATTAATATTTGAATATAAATATGTATAATAAAAATGGGGATTTCTTAACTAACCACCAAAATGCAGTCCTTATTAGTGAAACACAGCAGCTGCTGAACAGATTGCAGCTGTCAGGTGGCAACATTGTGAACAAGGGTTATTTTAAAATAATATATCACTTTTTGATATTGGTAAATTGCAGCAATAAAAATAATTCTGTGTGGGTGAGAAAGGACTTGTATTGAAAAAGTGTGAATATCCCAGGTAATAAGGCACAGTGGGAAAAGGTGTCATCCGTGGCCTTAAGTTTTCTGATTGAATGGCTTATTCTGGCAGCAGTAGGAAATGCTTTCTTTAGCTTTATTCTTAAAAGAAGGTTGACATTACACTGAATTGGAATTACTGGAGATGACTTTGTAGTGGTAAAAGACAAGATTTTAAAGAGGAACCAGCCGTGTTGAAGGACTTTATCATGTCATACTTTCTTTTTAAAAAATACGACCTTTGTTTTAAATAAAACTTTCAGTTATGAAAATTGATTTTTTTAAATGACTAACTTACTATATATTTATGCTATTTGCTTAGTTTCTGCATCTCTCTGCTTGGTAATGAAAACAGATTAGTCAATTTCAGTTTTATTTTACTCAGTTTCAGACCCATTTACTTTCAGGTTCTTCTGAGCTAGCACAGTGATAATGAGTTTTGGGTTGTAAACACTATAAAATAATGTTTGCTTATAATTGTTGTCACTAATATTTCACAAGCTTGTTTTTATGCATTTTATGAAGTTTTGGCAATATTTAATTTGACCGTATTCTTGTTAAAGCCATTGGAAAGAAGTACCAATAGATGAAAATATTTTTTCCTCGAAAAATTATGAGGAGCAGCCACATTAACTAGTTATGGAGCTGATTTTTCCCCCCTTCCCTGTCTAGGAATTCCTAGTATTAATCCAGAAGATGCTGCTGTAGCTCAGAATCTGGGTCTATCTTTCTCGGAAGTCATTGAAACACTACCAGATGGTTTGGAGACACTAGTCAACTCCAGAGAGGTTGGTACACTTGTACTGAGGTTTTTTTTCTCAAGTACAGTGATAGCACAAACTAAAACCCACTACAGGTTGGACCTCTCTAGTCCAGCACCCTCCGGACTTAACCAATCCCAGACAAGGAAATTTGCCGGACTATGCAAAGTCTGGTGGGGAGGGGAGTGCTAGCCTCCCTGCTAGGCTCCTCTCCCCAGCCCTCTGGCACCGAGGCCCCCTGCTGTGGCAACCCTGCAGGCTCCACAAACCTGGTAGCTCCCATAGCCCTGCCAGCTTTGCTTCTCCCAAGCTCCAGGAGCGCCCTGCCAGCTGCAGGTGCTGATGCTCCATGGACTCTGCTGCCCAGCTGGCCCCACTGGCCAACTCTGCTGGAAGCCGCCAGCAACCTGTGCTGCTGAGACTCTCTAGGTTAGCAACATCTGGGGTCTGGCACCAAACCAAAGAGTTCCAGATCACAGAGATTCAACCTGTACCAGGAAAATGCCAGATATTTTGTTTTTGAGGCTTAATCTTCCAAACTTTACATACCTGAAAGAAGAAAAATGCTTTAATTGTCTAAACGTCACAATAGAGAAGGAATAATAAATTCCTTCATGAAAATGGTTTGATGTTTATTCCTGTTCTTCTTTTACACATTTGTTCTTCTTTCAGGTTAAATGTTTAATAAATTAATCCCCTTGGATATAGTCACTGGAAGTGTTATTACCAGCCATTTCAGAGTTTCATATCTGTGTAATGATGTAACCCTAACACTAGAGTTCTTGTGAGTCTGAATGTGTGAATCCGAGGAGAGGTGGGATTGTTGTTGAACAGGAGATGAATTTTGTGACTGTCTAACTTGGGAGGGATATTGAGTGTTTAAAAGAGGAAGAGAAGTATAAAATCACCTCAAATGAATGTGGGGAGAGGTCTGATTTGCTACTTATAGTCTTGCAATATCTGCTTTGGAGTATTAATATGCTGGATGTCTTGCCCTACGGAGATGCCACCTTAACTATAGATATGTGGCCAACAGAGCCCAGGCCCATCCTCAACCAAGATCTGTTCAGCCTGTCAAGGGAGTGACATTTATAGGCTTTGAAGGGAGATTTATCTAATTCTCATGACCACAAGGTTGGTGACTGACATGTAGGAAGCCTATAGTGGAGGGATGTAAAGTAGAAGAAAAATCTGGAACCTCAAAAATGCTTGGGACCCCTTTCCCGTCAGAGTTTGTGTGTTGGATTTGTGTCCTGTGCATATGAAAAATAACATCCTGGGGCTATTGCAGCATTATCAATAGTAGCTTATATCAGTCTGCCTTTCTTTTTATCAGTTCACAGGCATGACTAGGCAGGAAGCTTTAAAAGCCTTAACTCAGAAGGCCAGAAATAAAGGAATAGGTGGCTACCTATCAAGTGACAAGTTAAGAGATTGGTTAATATCTCGACAACGGTACTGGGGAACACCTATTCCTATAATCCATTGCCAGACCTGTGGGACAGTCCCTGTGCCTTATGAGGATTTACCTGTGGAACTTCCCAATATAACCTCCTTTACTGGAAAGGGAGCTTCCCCTCTAGAAACTGTCCCACAGTGGATGAACTGTTCATGTCCAAGGTGAGCAAATATTAAATACTGTCCACTTGCAATCATTCTTCTCATATCTTAATGTTTCTTCATATAAGCTCTTTTTCTTGATAAATACCTCATGGAGGGAAAGCTCAGTGTTTTTAAGTTAGAGGAAAGAAAATTAGAAAAATAAAATAGGGTTTTTTCCTTTTTTCTCCTCCATTCCTTTATAGTATTGCTTACTTCATTGATTGCAAGTTTTTTTTTTCTCTTCCAGCAGCAGAGTTAAAACAAAGGTTGTAGGGCAGTGATACTCAATCTTCAGCTCACAAACTGCCTGTGTCTCTTTCAGATGTAGCCTGCGGCTCTTCAAGGAGCTTCTGGAGGGCGGGAACCCCTGCTCTGCCCTCTCCGTCCTGGAGAGCCACGAAAACCTAGTTTGTGGCGCTGCTGAATGTAGTGCCTGTTCCACCAACTCCCTCCAGGAACATGGCAAATCAGCTGATTGGAGGAACAGGATTAGTTGAGCTCAGAAACAGAGCAAGCTCCAGGAAGGGAGATTTCTTCTCCTTGTTGGCACTAGCACAAGGGCTGAGGATATAAGTGATATTATAAATAGCACTGTTGCATGAAATGGTAAAGGTGTTGGTGGAGGGAACAAAATTAATAGCCTGGTATGCTCACCCATCCAATGGTTGACTAAATTTATTTTTCCTTGTATTGAAAATGTATTTGAAAATGTTATAAAATATTTGGTTATATTTATAGTTACATATTTTATATTACTGTATATGTGTTTGGTGGAATGGTGCATGAGGCATATAGTAGTCATGTGGCTCTTGATTAATGGTTGTTGCAAATGTGACTCCCAAGATGCATAACTGTGAGTACCACTATTGTAGAGTAAATTGTGTTGTTTTATTTGCTTTTGTGAGACTAACATCTTGATTATTTTTGTTAACAAGTCCAACAACAGAGATAAGATGGTGCTATTGCAGTAGAATCTTTTACAAAGATTCAAAGGCCTGTTACATTTTACATGACAGCAGATAATTCAGATTGAAGGAGTTATTGGTTTATACACCCATGGTTTGGATTTTGATCATACTATTTGTTTCTCGGTTCTTTAAAAACAGCATGTAGCTTATATTTAGAAAGATACATATTCCTTAGCGAAAACAAGGATATCCAGTCACTAGAGCTGGTTGGGTGTTGGGTATATTGAAGTCTGCTGGGGGGAGGGAATAGAACCTGGGGAATCCCACAGAGAAACCTTTTACCTTTTCCAGGCATATAGTGAAACCCTGCTGTCAGCAGAGCTGGTCCAGCAAGCAGGGCATTGTCAGGAGATCCATCACACTTCATAACATAGACATTGTAGGGATGTAATAGTGTAATCAATTAACTTATAAGCAAAAGCTTATAAGTTAATGCTATAGACTATGTGCATTTTCCCCCCACTCCTTGCCAGTACATTTTTTAGCAGGCTAGCCAGCAGCTTAGCTCAGTCCTGGCTTGCAGTGGGTCCTGGACCTACCCTCACTGTGGCTCTGCATTTAAAGTCTATTAGGAGCCAGGTGGGCAGACAGCCCAGCTCAGTTCCGGCTCATGCTAGGTCTGGGAGCTCAGACCACTCCCTCCTGGACAGGGGCTGCCTGGGGACTATAGAATAGTTGACTAATTGATAAGAATTCATGAGGTTAATTGACTATTCACTTAACCAATATTTAACATCCTTAAGACATTGTAAATGTGTTAGTTTTGAAGGCTAGAGTATTAGCATGAGTCTCATTTGGAATTAGGTGATTTACACAGAACAGTTCTGTGGCTCACTGGAAACTGGTTTGACTTGTTGATGTTGTATGTTTTAAGCGAGGAAAGACATACGCCTGTGTATTTCTGCAAAGAAAATGTCATTTCAGGTAGTCTTTTTTTATACAATGCACAGTAACAAGCTGAGGAGGATGGATATTTGAGAGGAGTCTGACTAAAGTAATTCTAATGTTAAGTAATGGTCTCAGCAGTGTCTTGTGGTCTGAAATCCTTGACTCTTACTGCAATCTTTGTTGTCAGCACTACAGGCTTTCCACGGATAAATATGTTGAAATTCCTTTGTTGCGAAGAGAGGACACTATGATTCTGATCTCCTCTAGATTATATATTCTAGCTACAGGCAGTATTTAATAGCTGGTATTAAGTGGATTAACAGGATGTGTAGAGATGGGAAACTAAGGTGGCTGTGGCTATGGGCACACAGATGGGGAATTTTGAAGCTATAGCCAATTATGAGTGGACTGGAGGGATGTGCATATTGACTTCATAGTAGTTCAAAATTATTCAGTTAATATGCAAATAATACTGTTTGGCTAGCTATAGGCTATTAGTAGCCAGTGTATAGTGGCTTGCATGCTATAACTATGTTAAGAACATAAGGAGGATAAACTGGGTCAAACCAGAGATCCATTTAGCCTAGTATCCTGTCTTCCAACAGTGATTGATGCAAAATGCTACGGAGGGATGAACAGAGCAGGACAACTTAGCTAGTGATCTATCTCTTGTCAGTCAGTCCCCAGATTTTGGTTACCAGAGGCTTAGGGCAACCAGAACATGAGATCATGTTCCTGACCATCTTGGCTAATAACTATTGGTTGACCTGTCCTCCATGAACTTATCTAGTGAGTGAGCTGTAGTGAACTAGGGTGAAGGGAATTGCTTAAACTGTTATGTAAAGTATCCCAGAAGTTGATAGGCTGAGACAATTTTGTTATAATATAATAAAGTGTGTGTTTATTTTGTAATAAATGTATTATGTGTGTCTCTGGGCACATGTACAATATTTAATATAATTGTCTCTTTAAACTAAAAAGCCAACTAGAAACAGGATGCCTCCACTACAGTTATCCAGCTATAAGTAATAGCTTGTTACGAGATGGGCCTTGCATAAATATCAGACTGGAGAGAAAATAAGTGGTGGTGTTCCCCTAAGCTCTGCCCACAACCCAAGCTCACGTAGTCATGTTGCCAGAATGAGGCACCACTCAGTGTAAATTGTGCAGATAATTCATGTGAATGCCTCTCTGCAGTCTTGTTTGTTTTGGCTAGTATGCTGTCACTGCGTTAAGACCATAAAGAGGCCAAACCAGGTCAAACCAATGTTTTGCTCAGTTAAAATGTTCTGACACTGAATTATCATTAGGATCCTCTTGAGATGAATGTTTCAGACTGCGGGCAAATTCAGGCAGATGTGACTGTATCAACTTACATTTGGTTGACATTTTGAAGGTTAACTTCACAGTTGTAAAAAATGTTAAGGGAAGTTTATATTCTGGTGCACAAGATAGGAATTACTAAGTAAAAATTCTGTGCTTCTAATCTGACATCACCATGCCAATCCAACTCCTGGCCATGCACCATGCATTTAAAAGTAGCAAACTTGATCTGAGTATTCTGAGAGAGGAAGAGAAAGGCTTTCGACTAATCACACTCAAATACAAGTCCTCTCTGATACTTAACCACTAAGTACATGCACCTCACATGCCTGAGATGACCTGAAGTACTTCAACAAATACACGGAGACACAGGTTGTATCTTAGGCAGTCAGGACCCAAGCCACATAAAGACCATAGGTGCAGGAAGAAGGAGTGCAGGGGGTGCTACAGCACCCCCAAGTTTTGCACCTGGCTTCCCTGAACCTGGGGGCCAGCCCCGCTGCTGGCTATGGGTAGCCCTGTGAGGTTCTGCTGGCCCCACACACTTTGCTGATCCCCCAGGGTCCTGCTGCCAGCCCCATAGGCTCCACTGGCCTTTGGGCCCTGCTGCCTGCTGGTCCTGCTGTGAATGCCACAGCCCACCAGCCCCAGGGTCCTGCTGCTGGCCCAGGGCTCTGCAGCTGCCCCCAGCAGTGGCCCCACGCTGGAGAGATGAGGATTGTCAGCTCTCCCAGGCTGGACAGACCAGAGATCATTTGAAGCAATGAAGTCAGGTCTGTCTGATCCAGGAAAGTTGGCAACCTAGTCTCAATAGGTCTAAACAGGGGGTACAGCTCAGCACCCCAAAATTAGTTCCAGCACCACTAATAAAAACTTTATAGACCAAAGATTCACCATTCCCAGAAGTGGATAGCCAACATTGCTGTCAAAGAGCTTGTTTAATATATTTTCTATGGGTTATACCAGTGAGGGGCAGCCTAGGCTAGTAAGTGGGCCTCCTTCATCTCAGTAGGCCACAAGATGGTTGTAACCGAGACAATCTCCTGGGATAGATCATTTTGCTAACAGCGCTAACATACCTAGAATTTGCAGGGGGTGCCTATCAAACCATAGCAGCACTTCGATTAGATGCAGAGAGAGCACACAGCTCTCTCTGTCAATGTTGTGTGTAATCAGCATGCACCTCATTTCACATGCCCTTGCTTTAAGTGTGTGTCACTGTTGTAATACCGGTAGAAAAAAACTACATGGATGGAAACTAGCAGAATCTGGCAACTCTGTGCATGAAAATGGTAATTAAATGTCTCATGAGCCACACACAAAACCCTAATGGGCCGCATGTGGCCCTCAGGCCACAAATTGCTCACCAGTGGCTTACACTATCAAGCAGGCAGGCACATTTGGCTGTGCAGCTGAAGCTTCCAATCACAGTAACAGATTAAAGTTACAACAGCCTGTTTACATTCTTTGTGTTTATGTATACTGCACACAGGTTTTCAGCTGGCTGCAACATATCATTTGTATTATAAATTTTTCATTTTATCAGAAATAGTCTTAAATATGGAGTAGCTGCAATAAATGCAAACCTAGTTTTAAAAAAATTGCTTCCTGCTGTTTGTTTCCATAAGCAAATTGTTTCTGTTCATGGCACAAGGAAAAACTATTCCAGCTTTTAACTTCTCATTTTGAATCCATTTTATTTTGTACCTTCAATATAATACCAAGCAAATACTGATTTGTTTTAGCAGCCATCATGAATCAAAATGGTATTACAACGACTAGGAAAGATAGTGGTAGAAATGTAGCCGTGTTAGTCTGGTGGAGCTGAAACAAAAAACAGGACTGTGTAGCACTTTAAAGACTAACAAGATGGTTTAATAGGTGATGAGCTTTCGTGGGCCAGACCCACTTCCTCAGATCAAATAGTGGAAGAAAATTGTCACAACCATATACAGGCAGTCCCCGGGTTACATGGATCCGACTTACATCAGATCCCTACTTACAAACGGGGAGAGGCAACCCTGCACTAGCTGCTTCCCCCCAGCAGACCAGGGAGACGCGAAGCAAGCGCCCCCCTCCAGCAGACCAGGGAGACGCAGAGCGGCTTTTCTCAGCAGACACCTCAGCTTGAGAATAAAAGACTGAGGGAAGTGAGGTGTGGGAGAATAAAACTGAGCTCTGGAGAAATGTTTGGCTAGAGTTTCCCCTACAATATGTACCAGTTCCGACTTACATACAAATTCAACTTAAGAACAAACCTACAGTCCCTATCTTGTACGTAACCCGGGGACTGCCTGTATACCAATTATCTTACCAATTACAAACATAGCTTCCCCAATTATTACCTCTAATATCATTAGCTCACAGACATTTACCTTCCCCCCCCCCCATCTCCCTTCTGTTCTGAAATTTGATTTGTCCTTTTCATATGTGTTTATTTTTTTTTAATTGTATCCTTTGGTATATATGGTTGTGACATTTTTCTTCCACTATTTGATCTGAGGAAGTGGGTCTGGCCCACGAAAGCTCATTACCTAATAAACTATCTTGTTAGTCTTTAAAGAATTAGGAAAGATGTGATCCTTCTCAATGAAAACTGGAATTAAACTAAATTTGTTTCTCTGCGGAATAAGAAGAATCCCAACTAATCAGGAACAATAGATCCTTATATAAAATGAGAGCCAGTGAAGTGCAGCTCTTTCTACTGGAAATGATCATAAAATTATTCATTTGATAGTACCAGAAGGGTGTGCTGTTTTTTGTATACCGTTCTACTTTTCTTCTCCCTTTCTTTTGAACTTTCATAGAGCATTTGTTTTATTTCTTTAATCTGTGGGGGGAAAAAGTCAGCATGTGATTTTTTTTTTTTCACATAGGAGTGCTGAGTATTTTTCTATTCCCCAGGTGCAAAGGACCTGCAAAGAGGGAAACAGACACTATGGACACATTTGTTGATTCATCTTGGTATTACTTCAGATACATTGATCCTCATAATTCTGACAGGTAAGGCATCCAGGCAGCTGGCAAGCTGGCCTTTGGTCATACTGGTGTTCATGTAATCTGGACCTGTTTTATACAGCAGAAATAGAAAGAAAAGAAAAAAACAAGTGGCCAGATATTCTGGTAGTTCTACCATCTGGTGGGCACAACAGGATGGGGAAGTTGAATGGGAACCTGCTATGAGTTCCTGATTCTCTTTTTGCTGACAGACACAGCTCAGATTAGAGTAGCTTTGTGAGCAGTTCTGAACGATAGAATAAGGCTATCAGCCCTTAACAGGACATGCAAGGGCTCAGACTGCACACTCAGCTGGTGATTCACAACTTTTACCCCTGAAAAACTTGGTAAATTAAGATGATTGCAGCCTCTCTAGCAATAGACCAAATCTTTTATGTGCATGGACATAAGGGGCTTTCCCGTGAATTAAGGTGGAAACAATCAGTGTAACTTCTATAATATGGACAAAGCCTTTATTTTTATCTTTGTTGTCATTAGTGCTTACGTTGTGCCAGTAAGAACAGATCTAACTGGCTTCTTCTGCGATTTTATAGCAATGCATTCAGCTGGCAAGAGCTGATGAAAAATGAAAGAAGTGAGAAATCAATCAATTTCACCCAGAGAATGAAATCTAGAAAACCTCTAATCTATGCTACCTGGAGTCATGTTAATTTTGGTCCAGAGCTAAAATATTGTCATAGTGGTTTATTTCTGTGTTGTTACTTCAGCTAAACACAGTATTACAAAAGGAAACACTAGAGATGCTATGCATTAGTGACTATAAAATAGGGCATATGAAATATGGGCAAAGTTATTTAGCTGTTTACTTGCTCCATTTTCTGTTGGTGCTAGCAAAACTGATGGGTCCTACTGAGGTTCTGTCAAACTCAGTACTAAAGCAGGCTGCACAAAGGCTAACTCAACATTGCAAAATGTATTTTCTGTATGATGTCCAGATTAGATTACTGTCTGCAGTTGCTGGACAGCTAGCTAATTATTACAGTCTCTAAAATATTTTAAGCCATTCTGTAGGCAAAAAGCTTGCCATAAATTAGATAAGAAGTATTACTGTTTGTGTTACTAAGTCTTTACACAGATATGTATGGAAAGTTTTGGATAAAATGGTTTCAGTGTGTCTAATGAATTGTATGTAGTGTGTGATAGGCAAACCCAGCTCTTAGGGTCTGTTTTATTTTAACTGCCAAGGTTTTTGATTTAGAATCTGACTTCCATGGGGTAGGGGAGGAACACATTTTGTTGAAAATTCTCTACCTAAAGAAACATGGTTACTGTTCAGTGTGGGTCTCTTTTGAGACAAACTCAATCTTTAAAACAATTTATGTATTTGATTTGGTTACCTGCTTTTTATTTGACATAAGATACTAAACATCCCCTTGCCTCTCTTGGTGGGAGAGGAAAAGGAGTTGATGAAAAGTTTTAATTATAAAGACTTGGGGAAAGAGACAGAGCTCCATTTATTGGTCCTAGTTGTCTTTCTGTTAAAGTGGTGGTTGTGCCTTGAACACAGTCTAGCTGTGTATTGATATACCATTAAGTAACATCTTTGGAATAAAGTAATTAAATTATAGCAGTAATGTATTTTAAATAGAACTGGGCCAACAACAATATTATGAACAGGATCCATAGCTCAAACCAAGATCTTGACTACACATGAACTTTTTTTGGTTTAAAGTAGTGCAACCCCCTGTGTGGGCGCACTCATTTCTCTACAGTTTAAACCTTTTTTAATGGACTTAAGTTAAACTGAAATATCTGAATTATACTGAAATAAGAGTGCTCACACAGCATTTTGCACAGATTTAACTAAATCATTTAAAAATCTAACCTTTGGGTCAGCTCAATGCAACATCAGAACATCAGTCAGGAGCGTGTAAGTATATACCACCCTAACCAGTTTAGCTATCAGGTGACACAAAAACCCAGTGTTAAATTCAGATGTGCCAACAGTGTAGTGTTTCTGTCAGCAGAGCTAATATCATTCAGGGAGATGTTGTTACTATGCCAACAGAAAACCTCCTTCTGTCAGCATCTTCTGTGTCTACAGTAGGGGGCTATGCTGATATAGCTGTAAACCCAACACATTTGTAGTTTAGACAGCACCTAGTTAAAGTGCATATAGAAAACCCCTTTTTTGAGTCACACTCCAAACACCAAATCTGGACACAATTAATTTACAAAAGCTCAGATCTGCATTTTGAAACTTTATGTGCAACAGTTTTCAGATTTGGGTTTATAGACATGTGACGTCCTGATCCAAGGTTTTATTTCAGGCTTGTATCCAATTAAGGAAATGTAACTAATATGTGACACAATAAAATCATGGTTCTGATATTATTTGAGGTCCAATAGATACATTCGCTAAAGAGGGGGTTATAATACATGCCTTAGTGGGTGGGAACGAAAACCATATCTTTGAAGTTTCAGTTACAATGCCCCAAATGAATATTCAGAAATTTATTATAGTATTTAAAAACAGTCATGCTGCCCTCTAATGGTGACAACACAAAGTTTCTGTTTTAAATACATAAATAATTCCAGTATTTTTAAAATTGGCTTATTGTTAAACATTTTGAAGAGCAATATACAGCCATTGTGTGTGTGTGTGTGTGTGTGTGTGTGTGTGTATTTTTCCCCTCAAAATATCAATTAGTAAATACAAAAGACTAGACCAGATAACCACAACATCTTTATGAATGTTCTGTAGAAATCAGACAAATATATTTCTATAGAATTTAAATACAGATTTAAGATGACACATGAGAACTCATAGTCATACATCTCAGGTTATGTCCACGCTACAATGATCTATCGGAAAAAACTTTTTTCAATAGTTTTTTTGGAAGAGGCTTTTCTGAAATTTGGCCCATCTACACTGAGCCAAAATTCGGAAAAGCCTCCTCTTTTGGAAGAGCCCTTCTTCCTTGTGGGAGGAGGAAGACAGGGCTTCCGAAAGATCACATTCACTTTTTTTGCGGAAGAGCAGAAGCATTCCCTGGACGCGATGGAGTTTTTCCATAGTGTAGACATAGCCTAAGATGATATATATAAATCATATTTTAGTAGCTCTGTTTCTCTATAGCTTTTAAAATTTTTCACATGGATTTTGTAACGTTATCAAGTGAAACATTGCTTCTTAAACATGAGCAATTAAGCAAATACCAAAATTAATATAATGGAGGTTAAGATGCACATGCCACTCACAGTGAGCAGCCATTTCCAGTCTTATTAGACCTGTTCTAATAAAGTTGGTTCTTTTCTTTTTGCTTTACACTTAATGTGTGTTTTCAAATACTTTGTGTTTTAGGCCTTTTAATAAAGCCTTGGCTGACTACTGGATGCCTGTGGATTTGTACATCGGGGGAAAGGAGCATGCAGTTATGCATTTATACTATGCTAGATTCTTGAGCCATTTTTGCTATAATCAAAAGATGACCAAACACAAGTAAGTACTATTAGATTTCTATGGAAAATTGTTCACGCATCAGTCTCAGACTGCATTTAGCTTCCACGGGCATCTGTGACAGTTTGATACCTCTGCTTCCTCTAGCTCTAAATGTTATTTTCAATAGTATATTTTACATTTCATTGTCTGAGCCTGAATTTTCTTCCTTGTCAAGTTTAGCTAAATGATCAGTTTGTTATAGTCTGTATTGCATTTGTTGTTAGTGCACATATATGTGTGTCTAATATTTTTGGCTCAGAGCTCTAGTAGTAAAATATTGCCATAGGCTCGCATCCTCCACAGAAGTGCATTAACTTTATGCATTGTGAGGAGAGCCATTCATTTGACCATGCTTAACTTTATGTACTGAGTACTTTCATTAATTTAAATGTAACTGTTCTTTATGGAAAATCAAGCACTTGCTTAAGTCTTTGCAGGATTGGGGCTAACAGCATTAAATAGCTCCTGATAACGTAATACTCTGCTTAACTCTTTTGGGATTTTTTAAAATCAAAGGTAATATTTGATAGCAAATTTAAATTGTGTTTCCTTTAACCAGTAGATGGAGTCATCCCAACATTCTTCCTAGGGTGAAATCTTTGTGAGCTACCAGAGAAATTCAGTGCTAATCTGCATTTGTTTTTGACCACTGCTTTCTCCCCCAGATCCTTTTACAGGCTGAACATTTCTGATTTTGGGCATTTCTTCATCCTTCTGTAGTCTCTCACTATAATCAGATATGTTTCCTTTTTTCTTTTTCCCCATACATGGTAAAGTATTTTGCACTGCATCCTTGAACCTCTCCCCCTATAAACAGAAACTGGTTTCTGTTCTTACATGTAACTTTTATCAACATGGCATCTGACCTGAACTAACACTGTCTTATGAAAAGACAAGTGTTCCCTGAAAAATTACCCCCAGTTTGGACAGTTACCCAGTTTTTGGTGCTCTAATTGTTTAGTTAAAGTTCCCATATTAGGTAAAATATGATAGTTATTTAAAAGGCTATTTTAAATTCAAGAGACTGACATATGTATTGCAGAACAAAATTAATCATTTTATTGTTCACCTTTTTGTATTTTTTGAAACTGTTTTAACTAATGGTCTGGGAAGGCTTGCTCTCCTGAATTAAGGGGCAAGGACTCAGTCTATGAATCTCTCATCTTATGATTAACTTGGAAAACAATTAATTTAGATTTGGGTCACTTCTTCCTTTAAGATATTCTCTTGTTCTTATGATGGCAGAATCCATCTATAGCTTTTACATTTTTAAGAGCCTTTAATTTATTGTAGGCAATTAAGCAGTTGACTTATGAAATACCGTCTGGAAGGGCTCATAAAGATACTCAAAAGTATTACTCTGTTAAATTTGGTAGTTATCAAAACCAAAGTTAATAGTTTGGGCTGTGTAACATGTAGAACTTTCTAAATTTACCCTTATCCTACATCTGCCTACTGTGGATATGTCTACACTACAGTGAAATAGTTAATTTGAATTAAGCTAACTCGAAATAACGCATCTAGACACAAACTAATTAGAAATAGCGTTTTTCTAATTCGAAATAGCGTATCCACATTGAATGGACCCTGAATTGAGGGTAAGGCTGGCCGGAACCAGTGCCGGCAGAGCATCAGGGTTGGACTTAGTGTGTGGGGCTGTTGCCTCAGGCTAGCCGAGGTCTGTGCTTAAAGGGACCCTACCCCCCATCCCGGACAGACAGTTCTCAGGTTACTCTGCTTGCTGGTCTACCTCGCTGAGGGACAGCAAAGCATTTGTGTCTGAGTGCTCTGCTTTCCCTCACTTGGGACACCATGGCACTCTGCAACATGGAACCAGACCTGTCCCTTGGCATGCCGGTGCGTCTCATGGGGTCGTTGCCATCAGCCCGGCTGCACTTGCTGCAGGCTGCCATCCGGGAGGTCCATCGGGGGGCTGACAGGATCCAGGAGGCCCTGTGGGAGAGCGTCCACCCTGAGGAGCCCTCAGAGCCACCCCAGTCCTCCCCACCGGGGGCTCATGCCCCATTCCTCCTTCACGTCCTTCCACTTACCCCTCCCTAGCCCCCCTTCCTGATGTCAAATAAAATACAGTTTTTTTCATAAACACATCTTTATTTAACATGTCTTTATTTAACAAAACTGGGGAGGGGGAATGAAACTCTGGGGAAAGAAGGTGGGAGAGGGGAGGAAAGAGAGTGGGAGAGGGGAGGGGGAAAACTGGGAGGAGGGAGCTGGAAGGGGGAAGCAAGAGGAAGAAGGGGAAGGGAAGCTTCAGCGCTCAGGGGTGGGGGTCTCGTCAGGCCACATGTCTCCCAGCACGGCGGGGGGGGGGGGCCGGGCAGCGGCAGGAGTGGGAAGAGGAACAGTAGCTGGGGGGGCAGCAGGCGCTGGGGAGGCACAGGGCAGCACGCTCTGCAGAAGGGCCTGCAGGTGTGAGCACATGGCACGGTCCTGGGCAAGCTGCTCCCGGTGGAGCTGCAGGTCCTCCTGCACCCAGGCCTGGATGGTGCGGTGCAAGGCTCACAGGGCCCCCAGGTGCTGGTCCCGGTACCCCTGCTGCGTGCTGGTGGTCCGGAGGAGCCCTCGGGGGGGGGGGGCTGTGCTGGTGCGGCTGTGGAGAAAGAAGGGGAGTGGTCATTTCTCCCTGGGCACACAGTGGATGATGCCCAGCACCCCCTGAGAGGTGCGGATGACCGTGCCCTGCACCGTCAGAGCCAACGTGCTTGCACAGAGGCCATGGTCGGGATGTCTGGCTCTCCCCGGGAGTGGGAGCTGCCCCAAGACCGCACCCATGCCCCTGTGCCATGTATTGTGCAGCTGAGGCCCGGGGGGAGATATCCCCTTCCTCTGTGTAGAGAGGGCGTCCTGCTGAGTCCCGCGCCGGGGTCGGCAGTGTCAGGTCTCTTCATACACATGTGTGCCTATTGGGCCACGGCCCCTGGGTGTCATGCAGCTGGAGCCATCTGCCCCCGGGTGGCATGGCACGTGCTCACACATGCACAGGTGGCTGCATGATCCATAGGAGGCATGGCCTACGCGCGCAGTCCCTGGTCTCTCTCTCCGCCTCCTCCTCCGGGTAGGAGACAGTGCTGGCAGTGACCTGGTATGGCCTCCCCGGACGACCCTGCCAACTCCGGTGCCGAGACAGCTGGTGGTGGCCCCTTTGCTGCGCCCGGGTCAGGGTCTTCAGCTCCCGGCTCGCTGCCTCCTGGGCTGGTGCGGACCGCCCCGCCCCCCAGGATTCGGTCGAGGGTGGGGAAGTAGGGGCAGGTGTCAGCCCCTGCTGCGGCGCCGCCCCGGTGGCCCTGGCGTACACCTGCCGCAACACTTTAATTGAGGTGCACCTGCTCCTGGGTGCACCTGCGGCTTTTCCTGGCCATGGTGGCTGCTATGCGGCCGTAAACGGCCGTGTTCTTCCACCTAGTGCAGAGATCATGGACATTGGGGGCCTCCCCCCAAACCTCAATAAGGTCCATGATTTCCACACTAGTCCACGAGGGTGCACGCTGTCTATGGCCCCTGGCTGGCCTCTGTGTGCTGGGGGACTGAGCAGGGGAGAGCTGGCTGCCACTGGCTGGCCGGGCCCTTACCCTTTTAAGGGCCCCGGGGCTGGGGGAGAGAAGAGTTTTACTGGTTGTGCCCAGAGTGGCCACCAGGGGAAACTGGGAAGGGCTGGAGGCCCCCTAATTCGAAATAAGTGTCTACACAGCACTTATTTCGAATTAGCTATTTCGAATCTGGCGTTATTCCTTGTAGAATGAGGTTTACTAAATTCGAAATAAGTGCTGTTATTTCAAATTAACTTTGTAGTGTAGACATACCCTGTGGGATTCTTGCCCCTTCTTCTGAGTTAACTGGTCCTGGTGACTGTCAGAAATAGGACACTGGACACTGATCCACTATTGCAACTCCTATATTCCTGTGCTGTGGGAACACTCCAAAGGTGTGTAAAAGAGAAAACATTTGTTAAAGCATAAATACTTGAGTGATAGAAAGATGGATGTAGAATGTGACTGGTCAGATTGCTTTTTCATAAATGGTTTTCTCTCTCATTAAAGTCTTGCTATAAAATATCCTTTGACTTTTACAGATGACAACTATTTCAGTTGTCAGTGTGACATTCTTCTTTCATTAAATAATTGTCTAATTGAGTTCAGCATCTAAGGCTTGCTGTAAAATGTGCTTTTGACAACTATTTTCAACAGACAGATTTCCTTTTCCTTTCATCCTCAGGGAGCCTTTTTATAAGCTCTTGGTTCAAGGTCTTATCAAGAGTCAGACATACAAACTAACAACAACAAGCCAATATCTGAAGAGAGAGGAAATTGATCTCACCGGTAAGAAAGCCCGTATGGGATGACCGGCACAGGTGCATCCAGTAAAGTCAAGGGCTAGTTCAGTGAAAAAGGATATACAAGTCATAGTGTATGGAAAAATCATCAGTGAGAAGTGAACCCTTGTAATCATTAAACCGGAGATTGACTTTTGTGTGTATTCTGGACTCATATGCTTAATGCTGAGTCTACATGCAGAGAAAATTAGTACTCCTGTTGCCTGTAACTATTACCAAGTACAGTACTTCTGCCCTATTTGTTTTTACTTCAGTCTGGTCTGTGTCCAAACATGACTTAAAGTGAGTATCTTGTGGCAGCCATTCACTAGCCCATGTGAAAGGAGCTGGTGGTCTCAATTCCATTCCTAATAGATAGATGTCCACATTACAAAATCATTAGCAAAGTCAACACCATGTTAGCCATCAGAACAGATAAGACCTAGAGAGAATGGGCGCAGAATGAACTTCTCTTCCTTCCATACATTTAAGAAAACATACATTTGCAACTGTCTGTATTATACTCATTCCTTGTATAGAAGACAGAGCTTGTCTGCACTAAGGAAATCTGCACTTGTATACTAGTGCAAACCATCTACTCCCCCAGGTAGATAGATGTATTGTAAAGCAGTGCTTACACGGTTGTGATTTACCCTGGCTGAAACTTGCAAACTTGCTCTATATAAACATTCAAAGAATCAAGGTAAGTTTGCTCCATTGCAAGTGGCATAATACAACAGTGCAGAACATCTACAGAGGAGGTTTGCATTGAGATAGCTACATTAATGCAAAAATCATAATGCTGATGAGTGCTACATCTCCAAATCCAGAACCTTTCATGAGCACTGGATTTAGCTTCATAAAATAGAAGAAATAAGTTTTCTCTCCTGTGTGTTGGAAACATTATAATGTTTCTTCAGTAAAGATATAAAAGTAAAATCATTTTTGTCTTACTCTAATAATTGATTTTTCTCTTTAAATTATGTGGGAATGTTGGGAAAGGGATTAAAAATAACATAGTATTCAATTCTGCAGCTTCAGATGTTTGTGGAACTAAATTCAATATTATTGTATACTTTCTATGTTTAGGGACTGAACCAGTTCATATCAAAACGAAAGAGAAGCTCCAGGTTACATGGGAAAAAATGAGTAAATCCAAGCATAATGGAATAGATCCTGAGGAATTAGTTGAGCAGTATGGCATTGACACTATGCGACTGTACATCCTGTTTGCTGCCCCTCCAGAACAAGACATCTTGTGGGATACAAAGAGTAAGTCAAGTTCTTTTGATTCTTTCTTCCTCTTGGTTTATTTCTGTCTGAAATGCAGTTTATTGTTTAGGATTTGGAGAATTTGATGTGAACAGCTGATGATGCAATGAGAAAATTTCATTGGCTGGCTTTCTAAAGCTGGGACCTTTATTGGGATGAAAGATTATGTCAGTTATGTATACATTTAACATTAACAATCAAAACATAGATGGACTTCTGGTTTCATATGCTGATTCACATTTTTCTCTCATGAGTGACCAGTACCAGATGCTCCAGAAGACATTACAGTTTTCCCTTAGTAAGTGGTCTTGGCTTAAGTACTAAAATAATGAGGGTTTATATTATTTCTCAAAAATATTATCCTGCCTCATATAATTATAGATATTCTCAATGTCTATAGAAATGTCTGATTCTTTTCTGAATCCTGATAAGCTATTGGCTTCAGTATCTTATAGCAGGGAGTTCCCTAAGTTAATTCTACCATATTTTTTAAAAATCCCTTTTATCATCTTTACATTTGTTGCCTTTCCATTTCACTAATTGTTCCTTGTTCTTTTGTAATGGGAGCAGGTAAATACAACCATCTGAATGACTTTTATAGGATCATTAATTTCTGATAATGGGTTAATCAGACTTTCACATATAATCAAAAATTAGATTAGGTCATTCTGTTCCAGGCTTCATGTTGAAAAGAATGTTTTGCATTAGGAAATCTTCCACAATACTGAATAATATTTTCTATAAAGGGTATTCCAATGTGAGGTTACTGCATAGGATCTGAAGCAGTATTAAGGATGATGTTCCCCTATGTTCAAAAAATTTTGAAGTGGTTCTGTCATTTCTTCAGTAGTAATGATAGCCTCTGCCTCAGGCTTTTTATCAGAGGCTAGAAATGCTAATAAGTGCTTAGATGTATGCAGTTGCTGTAATGCCATCTTGGCAGAGAAAATCTGACATTTTTGCTCCTTGACAGTCTACCCAAGAGTAAATACAGGAAAATATAGACAATAGTACTGCAGAACTACATAGGACTTATATGCATCTCTCTAAGACCTTGAATGGTCCCTCATAATATGTGCTAACTACTTATACTAAGCTATCTGTTCAACCTTATTAGTATGGCACCCTGAATACCTTTCCCAGACTTGAGAGAGTGCTCTGTGTAGCTGAATTTTTTTTCTGACTAACAGAAGTTGGTCCATTAAAAGATATTACCTTGGCTATTTTGTCATACATACTGTCTTCTAAAGTTGTTGAAAGCAAGGATCTAAAACAGTGTTTCTCAAAGTGGGTAGCAGGCCTGCTTTGGGAAAGCCACTAGCGGGTTCATGCCACTTTGTTCACCTTAGTCACAGAGCCTCACAGCTCCCATTGGCTCCAGTTCGTTTTTTCCAGCCAAGGGGAGCTGTGGGAAGTGGCGGACTGGGCCTCATCACTTCCCACAGCTCCGCGTGGCTGGAAACAGTGAACCAGAGCCAATGGGAGGTATGAGGCTCCATGGCTAAGGTAAACAAAGCAATGCCGGCCTGCTAGTGACTTTCCCAAAGCGAGCCCACGGCCCACTATGAGAAACACCGATCTATAACAATATGGCCTCTTTACTTCAGACTAGAATATTAGCCTTAGCCAGAAAAAAAGCCTGCAGAAATGTTCCATTATTATGAAGACATTCTGTGCCTTGTGGGAAATGGAAGCAGAGAGGGGGGGAAACTGAGTAACCTTTTATCATTCTTTTCCTTCTGATTTAGCTTATTTGTACTATGATCTTTGTAGTTTATGAAATACTGATGCCATAGAACTACGCAACATGTCCTCTTTGTCAGTTGAGAAAGGTGTCTTTAATAAACTATTTTTGCAAAATAGTGTTAATTGGGCTACAAACTTATTTAGGAAGCATTTCTCTCCCTTTCTCCCTTACAAACTTCTTAAAAACTGAGATTAGGGAGTGTGGAAAAATACATCTTGTAATAATCTATCTATATATTTTAGAAGTGTGTGTCTGTGTCTTTCTCTGTGTCCATCTGTGAATCTGTTTGTTCAAGAACTCCTCTTAAACAGTCAGAGCTAGGACCACCATGTTTGGTAGACAACTTCCTCTTATCATAACTTAAAGAAAGGTCAGAGGTTGGTTGTGCCAATGCAATTTTCATATCAAATGGATAGGCAGAGGTGTGAAAGCAGGGACAGTTATACCCACCCTGACCATAGGGGGACAGCAAGCGCCCCAGTGACCAGCCACTGACCGGCAGGACCCACCACTCTGGTGAGCAGCTGGCAGCCCCAGCCCA